TCATCGATTTTTATCCACCTGGGTTCGGGGTCAGGACTGAGTGGTGGTCTGGTGAAAAGGGGTCTGGCTGCTTGGCTGTTGTAGGAAAGTTCCCCTGTGCACATGCCTGGTAACCTTGGTCTCTATGTCTCATGGGCCTCAGGTGTTCAGTGAGATCCAAGTGAACTGGACCTTGATCCAATGGGGTCAGCAAGGCCTTTTGTAAGAGTGCAAGCATAGCTAACATGGCCCTGGATATGACTTAAGTGAAGAGCAATACACATAAAATAAACCAGAGGGATGGTTGCTGAGGGCTTGGACTAACCATCACTCAAATCGTACACTGTAGATCTCCGTGCTGGAACTGGATTACCATCCCACAGCTAGGGTGCACTACCCACTAATTAAAGTCATACTGACCTTGAAAATCTGAACAAGATTAGTGATACAGAAAGGACTCATTCACATGGATGGCTGTTTTTTGTTACAGCTCTGAAAAGCAGTTCACGGTGGATCTCTTTTCAAAGCTGGTTGACAGGCAGCTCTGAGATGATATGCTGCCTCCTGGACGCCTGTCTTTTTGGGAGGGAAAAATCCTGCCACACTGTACCATAACGTAACTGTGTGCATTGGGTGTAGTTGCATCGCAGTTGCAGCGTAGTCCCATTAAGATGAATACGAAGGGTTTGGCTGCAGTACCTCCTGCCAAAAGTGACATGGCAATGTGTAGAGACATCTTTGCCGGAAATGTTACAATGCCAGTGGTGGGTGTGGGGGGGCATAAAAATCAACCTCCTGTTTTCTCCACCCCTCTGTTGTCTATGTAAACTAGGCCTGTGATATGATGTATGTGGCTGCAGTGATTTACAGAGGAATGAGGTTAAACTACATCGAGTGAACTTTGCTCTTTAATGTGCTTGAACACAATAGTAGTTCACTGACTCTTTTCACTTGTGGCCTGAAATTGCTCTTTAAGAATCCTTAATACATAATACAAATCCTATACCATTAGGGTTTTTTGCCTTTCCAGACCTTCCAGCTATTGAAGATTTAATTTCCTTTTACATTTCAAGCATATATGAAATCCGTACCCTTTTTCTGAAAGAAAGCAGACAGTGTAATCACTATACAAAGCACAGAGGAGCTATAATAGAGAAAGGCACAATTCAAAGGTTTTATTTTTCAGGTTAAGCTGAAGGAGAAAGTATTGATTTGTTACTTTTGGAAAAGTCAGTTTCTCTTCCAGTACAGTTGTAATCGTTTCAGAAGCCTTAAGACAGGAAAGGAGGCCAACATATCAATCACAAAACCTCAATACTCCTTTTATCTCACAGATCAATAAGGAGATGTGTAGCTAGCACATTATCTTCAATGCTTTTATGAAGCAGCTAAATTTACTCTCCGGGGCCTGTGTCTTTCAACAGCATGGAAGACAAACAGTTTGAGATGTTAATCTGCCAGATATATGGCTTCTAGCTCTGGGTCCACTATAACATCAGTTATAATGATTTAGAACAGATTAGGCCATTTCCCTACTGTGTGATATTAATTGTTTCCTTCATACTCTATCAATTACTAATGTCCTTTTGCCGAGACCGAGACATCAGCTAGTGGGTGTCATTTATGATGACTGGATGCAGTACACCAATGTACATCTTCTTGTGAAGTTGAAGCAAAAAAAACCCCTGCATTATAAAATAAAACCTAAATCAGAAAAAAGAAGAAAGAGAAAACTGTTTCTTAAAAATGTATAAAGGAACTCAGAGGGCCTAATGATCCAAAGACGAAAGACATTTTCATTGGTTCTCATAGTGTTTATGTACCTGGCCTCAGGAGACAGAACACAGGAGACAAGCTTGTTGCATCAACACATAACATAACTAAAAATGCCCTAGCCACACCCTTGAAGAAAACAGTACTGGGAATATATGGAAGCTGCAATTTCTCACCTAATGGTTCCAATATTGTCTGAGGCACCCTTTTGAAATAGTATGCAGATTGGTAGATTTGACTCCACTTGTACTTTCTACCGTAGGCGTGAAACAGGTTGTAGCTTCTAGAGTGATTGTCATGTCTACACAGTTAGAATAGTATGACTGCAGAATTAAAATTAATGCTTACTGTATGTACGAGGAACTGCACTTTATTTTTCTGTATTTGACTTCCACTTGTTTTTCAAAAGTTATTGTCAAGGCTGGGATCTGCACAAGGGACCAATGTGAGGTCTGGCTGTAGCTCATATTGCTGTGCCACCTGAAATGCTGGACCTCTTCCTATCTGATCTCTTGGACAACCTTACGTTGCATCTTGTTTCTGGTGAACCTTGAACTCTTTGCTCCTCCTATGAACTTCCTTATTTAAGCCATGTGTCTGCACTTTCTGTTTTCCTGATTATTGTGCTCTCTCCAGATGATATCTTGCTCTTTGCATACTTGCAGCTGTCCTTATCTTTTGCAACCATTTGTTATTGACCTTTGGTTTGTTCCTTGAATATGCTTCCGAATGATCCTAAACTGCAACCACTTGTTACTGCCCTTTGGCATGTTTACTGACTACACATCTGCTTGAGCCCTACCTGCTACATCTGTTACTGGACCATATCTTGCTCACCTCCTGGTGGGTCAGTCCTGAGGACTGCGACCTGGCACTAGCATGCAAGAAAACCCATCTCCACCATCAGAAGCTCTTGAAAACCAGTTACTGTTCACACCCCACACCTTAAGTGAGCCCACATCATCCACCACGGTGACCTGCGCATGTACTTATCCTGCTACTTGGTGTGAACCTCTCTACTGCTATAGCTACTAGTCTCTGAGCCTGACCAATAACTTTGACAGTCTTCATATATCAATTAGCTGTGCAGTCTAGCATTCTACATGCCATACAGGAAAGAATAGTGTATACTCAATGAATTCCACTGTTAGGCTGTGAGCTACAAATGGTCCTATTTTTTGTGAATCTGAATGTGATTCTATTTTGCCTTTTTGTGAATTGTATAATAAATATTGTATTGTTTCACCTTGTTTGAGATGTAATCTTTAATTCACCCTGAATTTATACATTTATAACACAACATTAAGACTTATCACTCACTTTTCTGGGACAACTGGTAACCCAGGACTGCTGTGCAGCTTTATGGTATTCATACATTGTTTTGAAATAGTGCCGTAATCATTAATGGTTAGAAGAAAAGCCTGGAACAAAGTTAGTGACTATTTGCAAAAGCACAGAGGTTGCATAGGAATGCTTCTTCTCATAATGCTATTGATTTTGGATTCATGTAGTGAATTACATTTTTTAAAGCTCTGTTTAACTCAGTAGAGCTTATATTATTTTAAATCAATATGCGGTGTAGGTTTACCTGACCACACTAAGCAACATCCGGACTAGGGAGAAGACACAAAAGAAAAAAAAACGTGACAGCAGTCTGTATGCCTTGTAACCTTGTATGCCTTGGAGAGCAGAGCCAGTAATCAGCATCCCTCTGGGGGAACATGTGCACTGATCATCAGGGCACTGATGATCAGTGTGCCCTGATGATCTGTGTAGCCCCAGCAGTGCCCCCTGTCAGTGTCCATCAGTGCCAGCTGTCAGTGCTCATCCATGCCACCTGCCAGTGCCCATCAGTGCCACACCAATGCCACATTTCAGTGCTTACCAGTGCACATCAATGCCACATATCAGCGCCCATCTGAGCTGCCTTTCAGTGTCACAAATCAGTGCCAGTCAGTGCCACCTATCAGTGCCAGTCAGTGCCGCCTATCAGTGTGCATCAGTGCTGCCTATCAGCACCATCTAACAGTGCCAGTCATTGCCGCCTATCAGTGCCAGTAAGTGCCACCTATCAGTGCCAGTCAGTGCCATATGAGTGCTGCCTTTCAATGCCCATCAGTGATGCCTGTCAATGCCCATCAGTGCCACCTACCAGTGCCTCCTCATCAGTGCCCATCAGTGCCACCTATCAGTGTCCATCAGTGCAGCCTATCAGTGCCCATCACTGCAGCCTCATTAGCGCACATCAGTGAAGGAGAAAAATCACTAATTTACAAAATTTTATAACAAAAACTAAGAAAAAAACTTTTTTTTTTTTCAAAATTTCAGTGGTTTTTGGTTTGTTTAAGAAAATATAAAAAACCCAGAGGTGATTAAATACCACCAAAATAAAGCTCTATCTGTCACAAAAAAAATTATAAAAGTTTCATATGGGTACATTGTTGCATGACCGTGCAATTGTCATTCAAAATGTGACAGCGCTGAAAGCTGGAAATTGGCCTGGGCAGGAAGGGGGTATAAGTGTCCTGTATGCTAGTGGTTAAAGAAGAACTACAATAAAACCAGAAACTGCTGAGAAGAAGATGTTCCTGGTGAACATTGTTGATCATAAATACCACCTGGTGAATGAAGTTTCCCATTATTGCATATTAGAATTCATCATAGATATAATGCTGCCATTATTCAACATTGCTATTATTGCCCCTGAGAGCAGCCACTGAGTGCAAACCTTGGGTCTGATAGTAAGTAGTTAATAGAAGCTGTTATTAGTAAGTACTGTAATGCTAGCAGGTCTTGAAGCAGCAAAGAAAGTCAGAAGTCAGTGTTATCAGAAGGGAGGTAGCTTAAGTTGCTGGGGTTTCAGTCCCTTCTTACCAACCCCCTTGCAGAGATTTTGCCCTGTGTCTCTTAAATAGGTCACTGTTTGTTCACCTGTTGTCTCCCTGTTCACAGCCTCAATGCTGCAGCTTCCTCTAATGTAAACAGGCAACACAGGATAGTTTGACAACCCAAATGGGCAGCATCCACTGGTGGAAGAAGAAACTGAGGGCAAACCTTTGGGCCGCAAGCTGAAACCTTTTGTCCACTGCCATTGTCAGAAATCCCGGCCGCTCGGAGGTGCGCGCATGCACAGATCGCCAACACGCACTAGCCGGCGAGCACTGAGACTTAGGCGATCACGGCGGCGGCCGTGCTCCTGTCACCAATGAGAGCACAGGGGCACCCTACTTAAATCAGCCCTGTGCATCTCCAAATCGCCTTATGGTCTTGTTCCCTGTTCCTGTGTTCCTGATTGTTCTGTACTCCTGATTGCCTTGTTGCCGACCCAGCCTGTTCCTGATACTGCTGTCCTCTCTCTGCTCTGACCCCTGGCTCGTCCTGACTATTCTGTCTGTCTGATCCTGATTGCCTGACCTCCTGTTACTGAACCCGGCCTGTGACCTGTTATTCTTCTGCCTGCCGCTCTGTACTGTCTGCTCCGCTGTTACCAATCCAAAGGTCCCTGTCTGACCACGCATACCTCTTCACATCTGGCTCTCACCTGCTCAGAGGAATCATATACACCTCACCAAATTGGCATCAACACCCTGCCTCTGCAGAAAGAGGGGAAACCACAAAAAAAGAAGGAGAGTGTAAAAGCAGATGGTCTGTTTGAGAAAAGCTGAAGAAAGGAGGAAGGAGAGAGAGGTCGCGACCTGACTTACTACGCAAATCAGATTGATCCTGCATCATGAAGTCCATTCCCCACCTATATAAAATTTTCGTCAGGGCTCTACACTGAATTCAGATTCACTTTAATCAGTACTGGAGGCTTAGAGACACCGCGCCCTGGAGTGACTCTGGCCAGTTTGGGCGCGGTACCATACAGATATATGAAATTAACTACCACCAGGGTGTCTGGGATCTTAATTGACAGTCCTTTATTCTCGTAGTCCAGTATTTCCACCTACCACAGCTGGTGTTTCCTCCGCGACCTGGTCTCGGGCTGTGTGGCTCTGGTCTGAGGCTTAGACCGCGCCCTGATTGTGGGCCGCATACCACCAATGCTGACAGCCATTCTCGTAGTCCAGCCACTCCAGTGTGGCTCTGGAATTGTCATCAATCCACAGAACTCAATAAGGTTGATTTGCTAAAACTGGAGAGTGCAAAATCTGGTGCAGCTGTGCATGGTAGCAACCAGCTTGTAACTTCAAGTGGAGCTCCACCCAAAAGGGGAACTTACGCTTTGAGGCTTTGTCCTCTGCTCTCCCCGTTAAGGATTGGCACCTTTGGGGAGTGGGGGGAATTTGACAGGTACCTGCTCTCACTTCCATTCGATCACCTAGGCGATTTGAAGAGGAGGTTGTCCTCCCACCCCCTCCCTTCCCGTAGTCTTCTGAGACATGTGACAGGTCTCAGAAGACTACGGGACCATTCACAAAGCGCAGCGCTACTCGCGCATGTTCAGTGGTCACCCAGCTGTGAAGCCGCAAGCTGTCAAAGCCGGGCGCCCACACTGAAGATGCCGGTGCCGGAGAGACAGAACGGTCAGTCAACCCGTGAGGACACTGCAGGATCAAGGGACAGGTGAATGTCCATTTTTTAAAAGTCGGCAGCTACAGCTTTTGTAGCTGCTGACTTTTATTTTTTTTTAACAGCGACTGGACCTCCGCTTGAAGCTTGTTCAGTTAAGCTTTGACAATAAAACCTGGAAGCTGATTTTGCACTCTCCAGTTTTAGTAAATCAACCCCAATGATTAAAAACAGGAGGCTGTCTTTGGCACTGCCTGGCCACAAATTATCATCACTGATGAGTGGAGCTCCTGGGGACTCACTTTTTAATAATTGGGGACACTTTTTATCCAGACATAGGCTCCTGAAAGTGGGGCTGTTTAAATCATCCCTTTAAACCTGAACACATATTAATTACACAGGTTCTGTGGCTGATTAAGGTGGTAATTGAACTTAGTGCCTTTTCTGCATTAAATCAGCCTCAGTGTAAATAATATGTGTTAGGGTTTAAAGAGATGAGGTGGCAACCCTATTCTGGACACCATGAATGTCTGGTCATCTTACCTTTTCACCACTTGACCTCTGAAAGGTTTTATCCCCTTCATAACCAGGGCATTTTTGCTATTTAGCACTGTGCTACTTTAACTGACAAGTGATCATGCAACACTGTACACAAATGGCCAATGGCATTTATATATATATATATATATATATATATATATATATATATATATATTCATAAAAATAGAGTATTCTTTTTGGTGGTATTTAATCACCACTGTTTTTTTTTATTTTTTAATATATAAATACCAAACATTAAAAAAAGGGTTTCTCTTTCTGTTTCAGTTATACAATTTTGCAAACAAATAATATTTATTCATACATGTAGGCCAAAATGTTTTCTGCTACTTCCCTTTGGTAAAAAATAACCCAAAGCAATGTATATTATTTAGTCTGTGTGAAAGGCATAGAGTCTACAAACTATGGTGTATATATATATATATAATATATATATATATATATATATATATATATATTATTTTTATTTTATTTTTTTTAAATCTCATTTCCTAAATGCCAGGACAGTATAAATACTCCCCAAATTACCGCTTTTTGGAAAGTAGACATTCCAAGGTATTTAGTAAGAGGCATGGCGCGTATTTTGAAGTTGTAATTTTTTGTAACTTTTTTGGAAAATGTAGAAATTAAATAAAATGTGGGGTTTATTGCACAATTTTTTTACATACTGTCACAAGTGCAGTACGGTGTCATCATGTGACTGGTGTGGTGGTGATCACAGATTCTACCTGGTGACAGTATGTAAAAACAAAATTTGTAATGATTTTTTATTCAATTTATATTATTTTTTTCTACAATTTACTTCTTTTTTGACATTTTTTTTTTTACATACTGTCATCAGTGTAGTTCAGTGTTACCATAGTGATACTGTACTACACTGGGGGGTGGGGGTTTTGATAAGGGATTTTTTTTTTACGTTGTGATTGTTACAGTGATGATCACTGTAACAGCAATCGTTTGAACTGTCATGAATGGCTTTCATTCATGACCCATTGCTTACTATTGTGATGCTGTGATTGGCCAAATCTATCACATGGTACAGGGGGTACTGTGTTTGACCCAGGTACCATGTGATCACTGGTGTTCAATCACAGATCACACACAGTAGTAAACAATGATATCATGAATAGTCAAGCGATCATAAGCAGCCTGATACGGAGCACCGCAATCTGCTGTGTCCAGTGGACACAGCGGTTGCAGAGTACGCCTGGCAGTCAGTAAGTGGTTAAATAATCTAGCTACACACAGTTTTAATGCTCTTTCATATCACCCTATAAACTGCTCTCCCACGTTGACATCTCTCGATTATTATCAGAACAAAAAATTTAGTACGTATTTTCATTTATATTATTTGGCATATTCAACTAGAAGTTTTGCATATGTATTTCAGACTTATATAGTATAAACAATAATTCTGAAACTAACATTTACATTGAAAGATTAGTTAAGATTGAAAGCAGTGATTTTTTTGGCTGAAAGACAAGTGAACCTCTTGGACACATATAGGCTGATTTACTAAAGGAGGAGTGAATGTTTACTTAGGAAAGTTTATCCAATCATGTGGAAACTAAATTCCGTTATTTTATTTCTTCTGGACACAATTGGGCATTCAATTCAATTGAACACAGATTCAAAAGTATTTACATATAGGCACTTTAGACTTGTGGACAACCCTAACCTAGCACATATGAAGATCTCCTGGGACCAGGGGTGGACTGACCATTTGGAAACTCAGGCACTGCCCGAGGGCCCAGGGTCAGTAGGGGGCCCCGTTGAGATGCCCCTGGTACCTTTTTCATAGGCTTTTTTGAGTTTGGGCAAGGACACAGGGGCCCCATGATCCCCTCTTGCCCGGGGGCCCATGAGATCTCAGTCCGCCCCTGCCTGGGACTCTTCTCTGACTGTTGGTGATTTCTTTTTTTTTAATACAAAATATAATAATTGGTCTTCTCTGCCTTTTCTCTGTTACCCTCTGTCCTTTGTTCCAACAGAGTCTCATTTACACTACTCTGTGATGGAATCTAAAGGTAGTTTCCCTTCTCGAAAATTTGCTGCGATTTCCATAGAGTATATTCCAGCTGACTATTCCTTTTTGGCTGAATTTTAGCTTCAACTCCAGTTTTCATTTCTTTTCTTTTTTTTGTTTTTTTGAAAAATGGATGTAAACCTAACAATAAACTTCTTTTTTGCTCATTTTGGTATGTTAAACGAATTAATTGAAAGTGCTCTGTTAGATATGTTCTTGAAGTGTTAAAAATACTTGTTGATCCTGACAAAAATCTTGTGAGCATATAATTTCCTGTGCTCTTTGTCTCTGGTTTTCTGCATTAAATCAGCCTCAGTGTAAATAATATGTGTTAGGGTTTAAAGAGATGAGGTGGCAACCCTATTCTGGACACCATGAATGTCTGGTCATCTTACCTTTTCACCACTTGACCTCTGAAAGGTTTTATCCCCTTCATAACCAGGGCATTTTTGCTATTTAGCACTGTGCTACTTTAACTGACAAGTGATCATGCAACACTGTACACAAATGGCCAATGGCATTTATTATATATATATATATATATATATATATATATATATATATATATTATATTCATAAAAATAGAGTATTCTTTTTGGTGGTATTTAATCACCACTGTTTTTTTTTTATTTTTTAATATATAAATACCAAACATTAAAAAAAGGGTTTCTCTTTCTGTTTCAGTTATACAATTTTGCAAACAAATAATATTTATTCATACATGTAGGCCAAAATGTTTTCTGCTACTTCCCTTTGGTAAAAATAACCCAAAGCAATGTATATTATTTAGTCTGTGTGAAAGGCATAGAGTCTACAAACTATGGTGTGTATATATATATATATATATATATATTTTTATTTTTATTTTATTTTTTTAAATCTCATTTCCTAAAATGCCAGGACAGTATAAATACTCCCCAAATTACCGCTTTTTGGAAAGTAGACATTCCAAGGTATTTAGTAAGAGGCATGGCGCGTATTTTGAGTTGTAATTTTTTGTAACTTTTTTGGAAAATGTAGAAATTAAATAAAATGTGGGGTTTATTGCACAATTTTTTTACATACTGTCACAAGTGCAGTACAGTGTCATCATGTGACTGGTGTGGTGGTGATCACAGATTCTACCTGGTGACAGTATGTAAAAACAAAATTTGTAATGATTTTTTATTCAATTTATATTATTTTTTTTCTACAATTTACTTCTTTTTTGACATTTTTTTTTTACATACTGTCATCAGTGTAGTTCAGTGTTACCATAGTGATACTGTACTACACTGGGGGGTGGGGGTTTTGATAAGGGATTTTTTTTTTACGTTGTGATTGTTACAGTGATGATCACTGTAACAGCAATCGTTTGAACTGTCATGAATGGCTTTCATTCATGACCCATTGCTTACTATTGTGATGCTGTGATTGGCCCAAATCTATCACATGGTACAGGGTACTGTGTTTGACCCAGGTACCATGTGATCACTGGTGTTCAATCACAGATCACACACAGTAGTAAACAATGATATCATGAATAGTCAAGCGATCATAAGCAGCCTGATACGGAGCACCGCAATCTGCTGTGTCCAGTGGACACAGCGGTTGCAGAGTACGCCTGGCAGTCAGTAAGTGGTTAAATAATCTAGCTACACACAGTTTTAATGCTCTTTCATATCACCCTATAAACTGCTCTCCCACGTTGACATCTCTCGATTATTATCAGAACAAAAAATTTAGTACGTATTTTCATTTATTATTTGGCATATTCAACTAGAAGTTTTGCATATGTATTTCAGACTTATATAGTATAAACAATAATTCTGAAACTAACATTTACATTGAAAGATTAGTTAAGATTGAAAGCAGTGATTTTTTTGGCTGAAAGACA